GTTTACTCAATATTATATATATAGCATTTCGACAGAACGTTTATTTGTACAAATTTTCTTTGCACATCAATTTGAGCATCGGCCTAAAAGTACTGTATAGCAGTTAGCAGTCTCCAAAATAATGAAAAAGGTGTCTTAAAATCGAAAATATACAGTTTTAGCCAAACTAAGTAAACACTTCCTCAAGTTTAGTAGCCCACTAGCGGAATATAAAGACACGAAATTTCAATGAGAAGACGATACGTATAAAAAGGCGATTGCGAATTGGATTTTCAATAATTAATAGCTGTTTCGGGAGTAAGGCGTATTTCTGAAATGATCGTACTGTACATCGTATGGCACCTGAAATAATTGTACAAATACGATAATTATCGTACAGATGGCAACTCTTCGCCCGACCTTTCTTAGGTCGCCAAAATTTTAAAAAAAATTCCCATTTGTAAACAGCGAAAAAATATCTAGTTAAAAAAAAGTGTTTGTTTTTAATTGGATATTTTTTCATGGTAATATTTTTTATATACGGTAATTTCCATTTCGACGGACTTCTATTTTAATTTTACACTTAATTACCATCCAGTGATAAAAATTGAAAAGATAAAACATGTTATAAATGAGAGAAAANGATAGATTTATATATATATATATATATATATATAAATAGAAACAATAATTTTAGCTTACAAATGCATGTTTCTTCAATTGTTTCTTCATTCTTTTTTACAACTATGTATTCATTTTCAGTGCATTTCCACTTATTGTTTGGACTTATTTTGACTGTAGTTTTAATAAATTTGACTGCAGAAAATTTTTTCCTTACATTATAACTATATAATTATTATATTTATGTAATAAGATTATTTTTTCATTTTTTTGACTCTGCCCTGTGGGCACTCAGATTACATTAGATTGATGGAATAAAGCAATGCAACACATGAACAATTCACCAAAGGAGAGTGCCTTCTAGGAGAACTTTCAATGGAAAACTGGTCTTATATAGTAGTAGTTTGATACAGAAACCTAGAAAATTTCCAATTCCATGCACATGGCTAGCCCATTAGTCAGGTATAAACCCAGGACCAACTACCAGTATTCACCAATGACAGACATGTTGTATATCCTCAGAAATCATTAAAAGCATGTACAGTAAAACCTGTCTATGGCGACCACCCACGGTTCCTTCAAAAAGTGGTCTTTTAGNTTTGTTCTGTACTGAGATTTTTGCTGATGCCCAAGATTTAACCTTTTTCTTATCAATATATTTTTTAATAATGATTACTCATTAAAAATATTTTTGGAAATATTACTATCTGGAAAATGTTGACTAATGCGATCGAATGATTTTTTGCACATCTTTCCAATTAATTAAGTTTTTTGAAAATGTTCTATATCATTGTAATGTACTGTCCACTTTTCTAAATAGTCTAAGCAGTTACCATAGAGCTTTTTGCCTTGACTCATGAAATCTGCGTGATTTATTGCACCTTGTTCTTCTAACTTAAACAATTATGGATGGTTAATGGAAGAGAATTATTTTCTAACCATTCTTGACACTGAAATTTTAAGACGACATGACAGACGAGAGCTCTGCACCATGTAACATGCAACAAACAAATTGTTTGCTCATTTGGACAGCCTGTGAACACATGCTTCTCCGTTGCTTGCAGCTGCTCATCCCAAACAATTGTGTCGCTCTTTGCCATGAACACAAAGGGTTTTCGGCTCAGCATTCTTTACTTCTGATGCTCATGCACACCTTGGTACTGAAAGGTGTGATACTAAATGATCTTTACAAATCTTAAACGTTAGTTTATAACACATAATTGATAAAAACTTAATCTTTCCAAAACTCGGGACTTTTTTAACACATGGTGGGACACAGGACAAATCGTTAAAAATTGGGACTGTCCCGCCAAAAGTAGGATATCTGGTCACCTTACACTAAGAGTCCAATTGCCAAATTATATCAGGATATATTACTACTACTATTACTAATATAGTTGTAACATAATCAAGTATAATTGGCAATTGTTTGGCTTTAATATATAACTATTGGATTTAGATGTTTGAACACCAAGAAGGCTTTTTTAAATCATATCCATTATATGATTTGACCATCCCCATCCATCTGGAACTGCTAATGAAAAACTCTTGCTCAAATCCCAGGAGTTAATAAAAAATTGAATTAATAATAAGATATCTAATTCAGCATTTTATTAAATTAAATCTTAATTCAGGTTATACAATTATAAATTAATAAACATTCAAAACAATTTATTTATTGGAATGTATAAACAATAATATGACTAGTTCTTACACATTACAAAATATGACTAGTATTAAATTACAATTAGTCAGCCAATTTAAAAATATGATTTCACTAATATAGGGGCTGTCCATAAATTACATAACACAAATATGGTTGAGTGGTATGCAGGTAATCTTCACAATGCATTACATGGGAGTAGGAAGTGTTTACAAAAATTCTTTGTAATGCTAGGATATCAACCCTTGAGTAACAGAATGATTCAATTTTATTTCTGAAGTGCATAATGAACCATATTGTTTATGACACTGCTTTGAACATTTTACATGATTAAAATAATGTAACATTTACTACTCTACGCTGTCTGTTATTCCTTAGTACAATTAAGATGATAGATAGGTGTTGCATAATTTTGGAATGGCTGTGTGTAACAGCTATTGTTGCCATCAGGCCAGTTTTCACCCGGACAAGCCAGTTTTTAAATTCATGGTCCAGATTAATTATTAATTTGTCCGGTTTTCATAGAAATTGTGAAATTACAATGAAACAAAATAAATTTATAAAAATATTTGTGAGTATTTTGCAAATATTAGGTTTGTACCAACACAAGTCCCTAACTGATTTAAAACTGGCATGCACATTCTTCAGTTCTTGACTGTAAAATGGTGCTTCGTACGATTTCTTACAATGCACATTCCTCGGTATAACATCCTAATTTTAAAATGTTCAGGCCAGCAATTTTGAAAAAGATGGCAACACTAGTAATAGCATTATAGAGCATTACTGGAGGTAGGATGGTATTTGAAAAGTGTAAATATAGCATTATGTAATTTATGGATGATCCCAAAGGATTTAATACTGTACTTATAGGAACTTCATAAATGTAGGTAAAAGTATATAAAAATTCAAATAATAATTTCTTATCAATGTATAAAATTGTTCTAAAATAAATGTATATGTTGTACAAAATTGTAAAATATTTTCTGTTTACAAAATTTAGAATTAAATTGGACATGCCAGAAATTTTTGCCCGTTTTGGCAGGTGCCCGTCGAATGCAGGTGGTCGCCTAAGCAGTTTTCACTGTATATCCATTTTAATTGTGTGACACTATGTGATTTGTTCTCTCAAGCAATTATGCTTACTCATAACAATTATGAGAACAAAAGTACCAGTGTTCAGCGTTGTTATCACTAAGATAAGATGACCAGATTTTACCATTGGTGAAGCAGGGCAAAATTGTTGGGGGGAGTGGTTGTCTTTGTTGAAAAAATCTTTTCTAGAGCAACAAAATTTTATTATCAAAGAATGCAAAAATTTCATTGTATTATATTACTTTAAATTTCAACATATGTAAAATTTACAAATATAATAAATATATATACTATTATAAATCTTTAAAAACTCTTCTTTCCCATATTTCTCAGTTGAGTACATTTTTTTAGTAGATTGCTGTTGTTGTCTAAAATGTCATGAAATTTTTCTCAACAATGTGTTAAATTATATTTCACACATAATATGGCTTTTAAAATCTCAACACTTAATTGTAATTTATCAGATGTCCACACTTTATTTATGGTAGAAATTATGCATTCAGTCACTGCATTAGTTCCTGGTAAGGAAAGCACGTATTCCATAATTTTTAATGCATTATTGTATGGAACATAGTTTGTTTCAAAATGATGAAATATTTCTAACCATTTGTTCTGTACTGAGATTTTTGCTGATGCCCAAGATTTAACCTTTTTCTTATCAATATATTTTTTAATAATGATTACTCATTAAAAATATTTTTGGAAATATTACTATCTGGAAAATGTTGACTAATGCGATCGAATGATTTTTTGCACATCTTTCCAATTAATTAAGTTTTTTGAAAATGTTCTATATCATTGTAATGTACTGTCCACTTTTCTAAATAGTCTAAGCAGTTACCATAGAGCTTTTTGCCTTGACTCATGAAATCTGCGTGATTTATTGCACCTTGTTCTTCTAACTTAAACAATTATGGATGGTTAATGGAAGAGAATTATTTTCTAACCATTCTTGACACTGAAATTTTAAGACGACATGACAGACGAGAGCTCTGCACCATGTAACATGCAACAAACAAATTGTTTGCTCATTTGGACAGCCTGTGAACACATGCTTCTCCGTTGCTTGCAGCTGCTCATCCCAAACAATTGTGTCGCTCTTTGCCATGAACACAAAGGGTTTTCGGCTCAGCATTCTTTACTTCTGATGCTCATGCACACCTTGGTACTGAAAGGTGTGATACTAAATGATCTTTACAAATCTTAAACGTTAGTTTATAACACATAATTGATAAAAACTTAATCTTTCCAAAACTCGGGACTTTTTTAACACATGGTGGGACACAGGACAAATCGTTAAAAATTGGGACTGTCCCGCCAAAAGTAGGATATCTGGTCACCTTACACTAAGAGTCCAATTGCCAAATTATATCAGGATATATTACTACTACTATTACTAATATAGTTGTAACATAATCAAGTATAATTGGCAATTGTTTGGCTTTAATATATAACTATTGGATTTAGATGTTTGAACACCAAGAAGGCTTTTTTAAATCATATCCATTATATGATTTGACCATCCCCATCCATCTGGAACTGCTAATGAAAAACTCTTGCTCAAATCCCAGGAGTTAATAAAAAATTGAATTAATAATAAGATATCTAATTCAGCATTTTATTAAATTAAATCTTAATTCAGGTTATACAATTATAAATTAATAAACATTCAAAACAATTTATTTATTGGAATGTATAAACAATAATATGACTAGTTCTTACACATTACAAAATATGACTAGTATTAAATTACAATTAGTCAGCCAATTTAAAAATATGATTTCACTAATATAGGGGCTGTCCATAAATTACATAACACAAATATGGTTGAGTGGTATGCAGGTAATCTTCACAATGCATTACATGGGAGTAGGAAGTGTTTACAAAAATTCTTTGTAATGCTAGGATATCAACCCTTGAGTAACAGAATGATTCAATTTTATTTCTGAAGTGCATAATGAACCATATTGTTTATGACACTGCTTTGAACATTTTACATGATTAAAATAATGTAACATTTACTACTCTACGCTGTCTGTTATTCCTTAGTACAATTAAGATGATAGATAGGTGTTGCATAATTTTGGAATGGCTGTGTGTAACAGCTATTGTTGCCATCAGGCCAGTTTTCACCCGGACAAGCCAGTTTTTAAATTCATGGTCCAGATTAATTATTAATTTGTCCGGTTTTCATAGAAATTGTGAAATTACAATGAAACAAAATAAATTTATAAAAATATTTGTGAGTATTTTGCAAATATTAGGTTTGTACCAACACAAGTCCCTAACTGATTTAAAACTGGCATGCACATTCTTCAGTTCTTGACTGTAAAATGGTGCTTCGTACGATTTCTTACAATGCACATTCCTCGGTATAACATCCTAATTTTAAAATGTTCAGGCCAGCAATTTTGAAAAAGATGGCAACACTAGTAATAGCATTATAGAGCATTACTGGAGGTAGGATGGTATTTGAAAAGTGTAAATATAGCATTATGTAATTTATGGATGATCCCAAAGGATTTAATACTGTACTTATAGGAACTTCATAAATGTAGGTAAAAGTATATAAAAATTCAAATAATAATTTCTTATCAATGTATAAAATTGTTCTAAAATAAATGTATATGTTGTACAAAATTGTAAAATATTTTCTGTTTACAAAATTTAGAATTAAATTGGACAACAACAATGACGATCAAAATAGTCTTCAATAAATTTTTCAAATGCCTAAGGAAAATATAATTAATTAATCTATTTATAAATGAAACAAATATTTAAAACAATATATAACAAATATATTTGAATCTGTTAGATTCAAATATAAGATTCTAGTTCTTAAAAATTCAGACTCAAATATAGGAGTAAAGATTTTTTATTTTTTATATTTGAATCTAACAGATTCAAATTTGCTAACAATTTTAAGACTATTTTATATTATTTCATTTTTATGTTAGAAGTTACTATACCTCTATTTCTGCTAATGCAGCAGGATCTATTTCAGTACGCAAAGATACTTTTTCAACACCTAATCTCTCTCCATTTTTGCTCAAACTACCATTTTCCCCTTTGTTGAAATAAAATGGATTGGTCAGAGTCCTTGGCCTTATCATCTGACCAGATTCAGGTCCTTTATATTCATCAGATTTTACTCTCTTATGTCCACGTAGTTTTACATCTAAGAAATGCCCTATGACACGTAATGGATTCTTCTTAGATTTTCCTGTGTCTTCCATGTCACATAATAAATGATTTTGGCAATTCAATTTTTCCCCTGGAAAATAATTTTGTATATTAATATATTTCTGCTAATTATATTTGCATAATTTTTAATTTTACTCTTTGATAAATGAATGTTAGACCCATCATTTTTCATGAGAATTCTCTTTTGTTTAAATTCATTAAATATAAAATTTCTTAAAATTTATTTTGGAATTCTAAGTTAGAAGAAAATTATTATTATTCCATTATAAAATAATTATATAATTACTATAATTGTACTATATTTTATATTTTTATAATTTTTTAGAAAGTTTGAAAATTTTAAAATAATTCTATCTTTAACTTTTATATTTTACTAGATTTAATTGAATAAATTTTTAAAAACTCATTAAACAAGTCCAGTAACAAATTGATTTAACTAATTTTTTATTTTTTTAGAACCATTGATGAATTACATTAACATACATGGTTTCAAATGCTATTCTATGTTGATATAACCTGAATAATGGCCAGATGACCAAGCAGTTAAGCTGGCTGCCTTCTAATCTGGTGACCTGGGATCAAAATCAGACAGGTTGAAAAATCCCAGGAATTTTTCAACCTTATTCTACTGGATCTACTGGATATTAATAAGTTGGGCTCATCCCTCACACTCAGTTGCTTCATTGTGGGCCTGGCTGAGTCCATAATAGACTTGCTAAAAGAAAAGTCTTCTTAGTGCCCACAGGGTAGAAAGAGTTAAAAAAAAATGAACAACATTGATCTTATATTTTATTGAATTATTATTTTTATTTTATACTGAGGCTTGTAAGATTGATCGCTTTCAAAATGCCATCAATAGTAGTTAAATAAATATCTTGTTTGATTTAAAAGAAATTTTTTTTTTGAGTATTTAACATCAACTCTGCATTTTTGGATTATATGTTTATCTTACTTTGAAATTATTATATTATAAATTCATAACAAGTTATGACAATTATTTTGTCATAATAACTTGTAATATAGAAATTATTTTTAATAAAGTATGAAAAAACACTAAATTAATAAAATTTAACAAATTAATATACATTCTACTGTTTTTGAGTTCATCTTAAAGAACTTGTACAAAAGTTCTGTTGTGATTTAAAATCTCCAAAGAAAGATTAACATCATTATTACATTAATGTTATAAAATATGAAATACAAAAAATACATAAACAAACATTTTTAATTTATAAAACATGAAAAATACATAAATAGTTTTAATATTTAATACTTTTTTTGCATTCCATTAAAAGTATTTTCAANATAAATTTAATACTGCAATAGTTTTAATATTTAATACTTTTTTTGCATTCCATTAAAAGTATTTTCAACATTTTGTAATTATTTTTTAATACTTTTCTTATTTTGGAAATTTTGAAAATGTGGGAAACTCAAGATTCCAATGAATTGTAATAATAAAAATTGTTGATATAACAACCCTGCATTTTCAACAAAGTCACATCACTGTTGAATCTGTTCAATACCTTGGATGCACCATAAATAGTGATGGAATTCAACCTGACCTAGAAAATATTTAACCATTCCTAGGAGTAGCTCAGTCGAGAGGGAGATCTGAAGATTTTTCCAAGCCCGGAGAAAACTTAAGAAACTTTAATCATTCCTACTCCAATAAATAAATGCTATTTTTATTAACAAAAAATAAAATCTTTAAGACTTCTTTTTATTAATAAAGGAACATTCTATGTATTTCATTTGTTAAAAAATTGGCAAAAGAGGTCCACCCAACTCCTTAGGCCCCATAAAGCTCTCAATAGCCATCTAGGAACCACAAGTTTTTACAGCTCTTTATATAGAACAGAGGTGTCCAACCTGCGGCCCTTGAGCCACATGCGGCCCAATAAATGTGTAAACAAAACTGACAAATTTTTTTATTTATTTCAAATGCATAAATTCAAAAAAGACTAAAAAACTCAAAGCCTTAAACCTTTATACATATTTTATTTTTGAATGGAAAGGAAATATTTTCAAATACTTGGGAATGTGTGAATGACAAAGGTATACTAAATAAAGCTGTAGTTGTGACTCAAAAGAGTATAGAGTCAAATTCGGGGAAAGGAGAGAAAGGCCAAAAGATAAAAAGTAGTGAGAAAGGTTAAATAGACCTTCTGTTATGCACATATTGACCCTTAATTTTTCAACCTTCCTCACATCTTTATCTTTCGTCCTTTCTCTCCTTTCCGTGCTTTTGGGTCTATAATCCTTTGAGTCCCAACTCCAGCTTTATTTAGTATTCCTTCCAGCATTGCAAGATTTGGTTACTTTGCACCAAATTTGACTACCCTTTTATTAATTTGGTGTAAAAAATATCATTTGGCACATTGGCTACTTTTTGGGCTACATATTATTTATAAATATATTAGTTAAATAAAAATGCACTTTAAAATGGTGTTTCGTCGTTTTTTATTAATTACAGACTCAAATAAAACAAATATTTGTGTTTGTCAAATAAATGTTTGTTTGTCTCCTTTATAATAATTGAATTTATCTATTTCTAAGTAAAAATTGAAAGTGTCTGTAGAAGTAATTTTTTAAAAATATCCTTTTTTATAATAAAGTTTTAATACTTATTACTATAATCTTGACATGCTAATCTTTAAATATACAAGTATATTTAAGGATTTGGCCAAAATATACTTGGGCCACAAGTACAGTATATATAATATACTTGTGGCCCAAAACTCCGTGACTTCTTCCAATGTGACCCAGAGAAACAAAAAGGTTGGACACCCCTTATATAGAACTTGGACCATCTTTCCCTTCCATTAACTGAACTGACTATAAAATTTTTTTTGATGTATTCAATAGCTGCAGTTTTGGAATCCCAAGTTTTGTTGCAATCTTCTCCTTAGATCACACTTTATCTCTGCATAAATAAGATTGTCCTCAAAAGTTGAAAGTCTGCCTGAACAGAGTTCATCTTTAAGAGAAAAATTTTCTTTTTAAATATAGCAAATCATTTCTTACAGACATGTAATGAAAGAACACCCTCTTCATAAAGATTATATACACTCCTAGTTGCTTCCTTTTTTAAACTCATACAACATAACATGCCATTAATGCTCTTTAAGATTATCCACTTTCTGTTAGAAATACAAAAATTCAAAAATAAAATGTAAAATGTTTCCTTTAAATCAATGATATCTAATTCAATAACAATTACACAATCATATTGATTTTATTTTTGTAATTTAATCAAAATTTTCTTTGCAATTGAAAATAGAAAATATTTAAACTATAACTGTAAAAGAATAGACTAATTACACATAAAACTATTCGTGTGTCAAATGAATTGCAACAGCTCTTAAAATTCCTCTGGCAAGCACAATGCTGGCAAAGTTAATGTAATGCAGTAAATAATTTCCAGATGTCTTACATCATGCTTCTTGTTTATCTCTGACAACACATGAAAGAAATGTTAGGCATCTAAAAGATCTTAAAAGAAGAAAATAAACTGTTATTTATTTCCTTCATTTTAATTTCATTAAACAAGAATTATTATACAAAATAACAGGAAAAATTATACAAAATATATGGTATTGCAAATGAAGCCACCTGGGTCTGAGTAGTTTCTTGATTTTTTATTAAATAATGAGTAACCATATTGCCTTCAGATAAATATTGTCCTGCTTCTTTGATATCTTAGAATTCATTTACCTGGATGACAATTGTCATCCACATGACTAAACTCATGAATTATTTTGTAAATGTAAGCATCTGAATTTTTATGATATACAGTATAATTACGGTGACCATATTTTTTGGGAGAAAATAAAGGACATATCGAAGAAAATAAAAAAATACCTTATAACAGCGCTGTCCAACTGGCGGCCCGCGGGCCGTATACGGCCCGCCAAATAATTTTTACGGCCCGCAAGTACATTTTGCTATGAATAAATTTATGTTACTAAATTATTATTATTAATGTTAAAATTATTTTACTACCGTGTTTCCCGGAAAATAAGACAGTGTCTTATATTAATTTTTGCTCTGAAAAATGCGCTAGGTCTTATTTTCAGGGAATGTCTTATTTTTTCCAGGAAGAAGAATTCACATTTATTATTGAACAAAAAAATTCCCAAGTCGAATTTAGACGAGAGTGACGTATATCCGGTGTGTCGAACTGTCGCCTTTTTATAGCGTCAACATCGGACTCGCTGACCAATTAGTGCTTACTGAACCATAGCACTATGCAAATGTCATGTTGTTTATCAACCTTCTTGGCCCCCGAAATGTTTGGTAAAGGAAATATGGCCCGCGGGCTATGGTAAGTTGGACAGCGCTGCCTTATAAAATTCATAAGTTTATAACATTTATTACGAAAATAGTAGCATACAACAATGCATACATTAAAATTTTGAACAATCTGAATTATTACACATACACACATTGTAAAAATTTAAATAACATTAATTTTGATACTTTTCAGAAGAATTAATTTTTCTATAGCGCTGTTTTACGCTTTAAAGTAATAAAATTCCATACAGTTCATTTGAAAGTTCTGTTTGACAGAAATACATGCTTCTAATGTGCTTACTTTTAAATGTTTTTTTTTCATTCGTCCGCATATTATTCAGCAATGAAAGTATTCGTTCAACGGGGCATTAGATCCAGGGAGACAAAAAAAATTCTACGATTTTACAAATGGTTTTGAAAACAATTTCTTTTGCTGTAAAATATTCAAAAATCTCAATCCACCTTTGATGGTAGGGCTGGTTATTCTGTCACCATTCGTCGATCTTTTCGTTTGTGACATATTTTTTACATATGAAACTTTATCAAATAATTCACCGTCGAGTATATTTACGGACCAATGATTCGAAATAAAGATATAACTTTCCTCTACTTTCGCCCACAAAGGGATTTCGCATAATGTGACCCATTCAAACACCTTTATTTCAATAAAAAACATGTCCCAATTATTTAGATAATCCATGCACGTTTGATAAAATGTGTACACAGCATCATTGAATTTTTTGGCTTGTATATTTTCTGATTTTTCTAATGCTA